ACCATTACATGCAGTAAATAAACACATCTAAAATATAAATATTCAAGCGGTCACCAGTGGTCTCTTTGTATGGGGAGGGGTCGTGGGGAATAGATGAGACTTTAGAGGAGAACTATGGGGTCAGTGTTTTTCCCCATAGTTCTCCTTAGGCTAACGGGAGGACACAAACTAGCGTCCTCCCGTCACCCTAGGCTCAGTATACCGCGAGCTACACTGAGACGCCGCGTTATACTGAGACGCCGCAGCTGAAGCGGATCCCGACAATTATGTCTGGATCCGCCCAGCTGCGTGACTGACAGCTGGCTCTGCCTATCTAGAGGCAGAGCCAGCTGTCCCCGCCCCCGTGCGTTCCGCCAGTCAGCGCTGGCGGGGAGGGGGGAATCCAGGGGGATGTGTTCCCTCACCTCCCGATCTACTGAGCCGACCTGTGACAGTCTCATCCAGGGGAATGTATGTTGGAAAGCACGTTTCCATAGACTGGGAATCTGCAGTGAAGTCGCTCTTCTCTATCTGCTCCTTTTGACCTTTAAATTGCGATATGAAAACAAAGTGTTATGACTGTTCCCCCTTTTTGAGTTTTCTTTTTATATCCTTTTAGTTCATTGCTTCTTTACAATGCTTTTCATAACACATTAAGGATGAAATGAGAAGCTCTGGTCTATTCTGCAGCTGTCAGCAGCAGCCAAACCGTTTGGCTGAGGAATGTGCTGTTTTATTAGGAGCTGTATTGTGTGCCGGGTAGCATTCGGGACTCGGTCACATGCAATCTATTTCTATTACCTTATATATCAGATGGGATATGAGAGGGACTTTAGTACGTGTGTGTTTTTTTTCTTCCTGCAGAAGAGCAGTGCATCTTGATTATTGACCATTGCTAGAAGGTGGATACTTGTTTAAAAGGCAACGGAAAGACATGTATACATTTATAAGATACAGGAGGGATGTGTTACATTTGCTGTAACTCAGGGTTGTAACTAGAAATCACGGGGCCCCATAGCAAAATTGTGTATGGGGCCCTGTGATCTCTAGTTACACCCCTTGCAGAGCCCAACTGAGATCCCACACAGCCCACCTGAGGGTGACCCTGCAGAGCCAACCATAGAGAGTCTATGGTTGGCTCTGCAGGGTCACCCTCACGTGGGCTCTGCAGGGTCACCCTCACGTGGGCTCTGCAGGGTCCCCCTCAGGTGGGCTGGTCACACCCCTTACCTGTCCGCCTCCTCTTCCTCCACCGTCGGTGATGAATCCCGCCTCCTCCCCCGTCACCGGGCCCCGCCTCCTCCTCCACTGCCAGGTCCAGCCTTCTCCACCGCCGCTGCTGGCTCTCACGGACTCAGCAGCGGCTGTGGAGAGGAACGCGCCGCTGCACCGATCACCGTCAGTCTGATCTGAAAAGAGTCGCATTCCTCTTCACAGCCGCCAGTGACAGCCAGCAGCATGAGATGCCATAGCCACCCAGGCGGGCCCGCAGGGCATCAGGGATGTCCTGGCCGGGCCCCCCTGTGCCCGGGCCCCAAAGCGGCCTCCTGTGTCACTATGGCGATTGTTACGCCACTGCTGTAACTGTTGCCTATTGCTGAACTCATTTATACAGGATATCGAACCTGATACGTTGGCTTGGGGGTCTGATTGCAGGTTTCTGTTTTTTTAAACCTTTTAAAATATTGATACAATACTATTAATATTATAATAAAAAATGTTGTTATAGCGCATACAGTTTGCGCAGTGCTTTACACATTATACATCAAAGTGTACGCTGCACTT